CGACGAATATCTGTTTCGAGACGAATAAGATGGTCACAGGTGGTACGGTTACGTCGAAATCCACATTGCTGATCCGATATGAGTTTTTTTTTTACAATCCATTATCCAACCAAGGCGTTTGCCAACCATGAGTTTCATAAGTTTTCCCAAGCAGCTGGTGAGCACAATTGGACGGGAACTGACTGGGTTGTGCGACTCCTTGCCTGGTTTTGGTATCGGAATCATTGTTGTTTCCTTCCATGCTTCTGGAAAAATATGAGAGGACCGCAAATCATTGAAAATTTTCAATATCAGTTAAAGTTTGATGCCAGGTAAGTGACGGAAGAAACCATAATGTAGCTCACCCTGGCATGCTGAGGTGTCACCGGTGGATTTAATCGCATCGCAGAGCTCTGAGAAAGAAACTAGTCCATTGTAGTCTTCTTTATTGTCGGAAAGAAAGCAATGGGGATGTAAATGAAATCGGGATCCCGCTTGATCCATGAAACCTGCGTTATAATTGTCAGAAAAACTACAATGTGCTAGACTTTGGGCAAGACCTTCATGACCTGTGATGATGTAACTAAGGCATTGTTGATTCGGAGAGCTGGATGAGAAAAAGCCGGCCGCTTACCAGAACGTGTGCGAACTGATCCCCAAATTTTGCTTCACGGAGTAGATGATGTAGATTGTTGTAGGAAGTTTAACCAGGAACAACGTTTGGCGGCTTTTATGATTCTCCTGGCTCGAGCACGTTCAGAGTTGCGGGCGAGTAAAGTGGAATGTCGTGATCGCGTCGATAACTTCGAAAAGCACGCTTACGTTTGGCAATGGCCTTCTCAACATCATCTGTCCACCGCGGCACAGGACGGCGTCGTGGTGGGGGTTTAGTCATTGAAATTGTCGCGGTTGCTGCAGAATGAAGAATGTGTGTGATAAAACCAACTCCTTGCTCTGGTGAATCATAGCGATGATGGTTGGTAATGCAAAGTTTCTGAAATTTGGTCTACCTTCCGCAAATTCTAACGGGATAGATATCGAGGAAGTGCATCAGCCGCAATACCAAAAGTGGTATAAATTGTTACTGGAAAATTGCCACTGCCGTGGACATCTCCCTCAATAGTCCAATCAAAGAAAGTTCCTGTTGAGGGAGAGCACAGTGACAAGTCAATGGCTGTTTCCGTTCCAGTGGGTAGGTGGTGATAAGTATTATTGCCTTTGTTTAGCAGGACTGAGTTGTGTGTATCAATAAAATCTTCAACCAAATGTCCTCGGCGATCAACGGCTTGGGTGCCGTTTCTCCACGTTGGACTGCGAGCGTTGAGATTGCCGAGGATGAGAAAAGGGTTTTGCGATTGAGCAACGAGTTAGTCAAGTTGCGGTAAGAGCTCCGTATTGTTATAATTTGGTGTAATGTATGTTTAGCATGCATCGAAGATACGGCCACGCAGCCGAGCTGAACATGCAACAGCCTGAATAGGTGTGTTAGGAGTGAGTGGCGTGTCTGTTGATTCTTGACTGATGTACAGCGCCACCCCACCTTGGCGACGCTCACCGTCCGTGGTGTCACGGCGATATAACGAGTAAAAAAAGACAAAAAGACATTTTAAAAAGACATTTTAAAAAGACATTTTAGAAAAAAAAGACGTTTAAAAAAAGACATTTAAAAAAAGACATTTAAAAGACAGATTAAAAAGACATTTTAAAGTTATATGTGTCGGTGGGACGAAACCATGTTTCCTGTACGGAAGCGATGATTGGAGCTAATACGGCAAAAAGTGCTTTCATTTCAGACCATTTTGAAATGAGACCGCGACAATTCTCCTGCAAGATGAAAGACATTTAATGATGAAGGGACCCATTCCCACCGGTTGATGGGAATCGCCCGAACGAAACAGACCGAGGCCGTCCCATCGCCACACTCACCGATGGACGGGACCGGCATTCTTCGTTCGGGCGTGTTTCGACAGGTATTGTGGTGGAGGGAGGGGAGGCAATGTTCGTGTGGTGGCCAAAGGGACCTGGTCTCCGACTGTTCATAACCGGCGGGCTAGGACGCCGTACGGCCTGAGCCGCACGTGTATCACGCACAGCCGGCGGGCTGGAATGCCGGCCAACCTAAGGACGGGGGCGCACGGGCGCCTGCGCATCCGAGCGCCCAGCCAGGGGCGACTCAACGACATTTTTGTCTGGATCTGTGTAGCTGACTCAGCTGAGACCGAGGGGCGGGGGGTGAGAAGCTTCAGGGGGCGCAGCTGGGTGATGGAGTCTGTCTGTGTTCCACGTGTGGCCATCGTGGCTTTTGATACTTGTGCAACGTTTCGCTAGATTGCGACGACATTTTCGATTCAAATTGTGCCATGTCTCGGGGTGCGACACATCTGTCTTGGCCTTTTCAGAACAATCTTTCTTTTCCTTTTGTCCATGTGGGACGCCGAGGACAGTTGCCGGCGTGATGAGCATCTCCACGGCTCAGGCGCTTTTGGGATAATGTGCATGCATACCCCTCGTGAGGAGTCTTGTTGTTGTTGATTGGAGTTTTGGGGCGCGCCGACTTCTGTGGTCATTTTGCACCCATGACGGCTAAATGACTACCTACGGCGGTAAATGGCTAAAAAATCATATTAGTCAGAAATGAAAACGGCTGAGTTGTGACAGGAACGCGCCACCAATGATGTCCGACAACCTGAACCCAAAATAACATATTGATTCGAAATTTTCGGCAACATATAAACTTCCTACACGCGGAATGATCTATTCAGGCAGGCGTATATGAAGTGCAGAACTTAACATGCGATACGAGCCTGAGGGTATGTTCGATATATGGTGAGCTGTGACGTAGCAAATCGGAGAGCATCAGGGACGGCGCCGCTGGGCCAAAGTACGATACGAGCCTGAGGGTATGTTCGATATGTGGTGAGCTGTGACGTAGTAAATCGGAGAGCGTCAGGGACGGCGCCGCCGGGCCAAAGTACCTCAGACGCTCGACGCGTAGTATGGGACAGCATACGAGCACATGTTCCACTGTGAGCGTGGTGTTGCAGTGGCGACATCCTGGTAGTTCGTCGTGACATAGTAGGTATCGATGTGTAGCATAAGTATGGCCAATCCGCAACCGACACAGGATTACTTCCTCCCGTCTAGACTTTCGATAGGATGACTGCCATTCATGAACAATCGGCTTAATGCTTTTGAGTTTACTGGTGCCCATCGCATCCCATGTGCTCTGTCATTCCCCGCGCGAAAAGGCAGAGATGGCCGAGTATAGGTATGTAGCGGGTATCGCAAATGCCTCGCGACAGAGACGAGTAGCACGCTTTGCGGCAGAGTCAGCCAGCTCATTTCCCGCAATGCCAACGTGGCTCGGAATCCAGCAAAGCACTATGGTCTTGCCAGCCCGGTACAGAGAGTCGAGACGTAAGTACAGTAAAATATCCTGTATAAGGGGATTTACCGGATTAAAACGCCTTAATGCCGAAAGGGCATTTAGGGAATCCGACAAAATCACGTACAGACTGTCTTCGCCCACCTCTGTAAAGCAGAGTGACATAATGATGGCCACAGGCTCTGCAGTATACACGGACGCATGGGCTGGCAGTGTAAGTGATCGCGTATCGGGACCACACACAAAAGCGGAACTACGTGAGGAGTCTCACCGCACTTAAAGCATATGACACTCTGTTTGCAGTACTTGCTACCGTGTCCGAATCGTTGACATTTGAAGCACCTGAGTGGATTTAGAATGAATATTCTTACTTTATAACGAAGGTAACCAGCGGTGAGCGTGTCTGGAAGTCGGGTGGTAGCAAAGGTGATAACGAGCAGGCTGGTGTCACGACGCTGACCATCTCTGAAAGTCGTCAGCCGTCGGACATGGCAAACTTGCTCGTCCCTGAGATCCACCAGGATCTCGCCCTCCGTCATGAAACGGAGCTCAGGCGCGAAGATGGTGCCTTTACTGGTGTTTCTGGCATGGTTCAGGGAGACTTTTGCTTGTTTCCCCCAGAATTCAGTTGTTTTGGGTAAGGCCTTGGTTTGTGTACGAGTGGTTGTTTTAATGATGAGTGATTCGTTTGCCAGAGCCTTCAATTTTGAGTTCGCATGGACCGCAGATAGCCTTGATTTGTTTTGATGGCCAGAAAATGTTAATCTTCCGGAATGACACGTTCTCATCACAGGGCTGAACAACAACGTAAGAGCCGAGAGGATCCAGAATTGGTTCAGAGGGCAGGCGAACACTGGTCACTGTCGAGCGAGGGTCAGCATCAGAGCGAGCAGGCACCGGGGTGGTCGAAGACGAGCGAGGATCGGAACCAGGGTCGTTGGGTGGAGACGGGTGCTGTCCAGACACCACGGCGGAAGTGCATGAACCAATGAAATGGGCCTGGGGCGCGCGAGGTTCATCAGGCTAATGGTAGCCAAAGCGCAACTAGCGGGACTTCTGTCGTCTATATCCAGGGAAATATCCATGTCAGAGACCGAGTTCAAGTCCGTGTCAGTGTATTCCTTCTTACGCTTGCTTCTTTTCCCCATACTGGGAGAGCGAGAAGAGTACAAACAAAAAAGCACGAGCACGACGATGCAAAAAAGGACTCCTTGACTGGGGCCGCAAAAGGAGCAAACCACTTGTTAAGGTCTTGCCAGACGGGTGTATGGCCACCGAATGGGTCTACGCGAGCCCCCGTGATTGAATCTCAAGGGATTGGCTTTTTTCATTGAAACCCCTTCGACCAGAACTTATCATTTCAGGGCTATAAGATGCTGGAAAATGGTTAACAGTGGAGCAGACTCGCATGCGCCTGGGGGGGAGGGGGGGAGGGGGGCAATCGCCGGGCTTTAACCCGCGCATGTGCGCTGTGTACCCGGTCGGGGTCCCCTTTCCCGCGGGGCTCTCGGCCCACTCGTGGCTGACGCATGCAGCCTGTCCCGGACAAGTGGGGTGTCATGAGGATGTAGGATGAAGCGAGATAGAGGATAAGAGGAGCGGATGAACCTCAATGGATCTTGACCCAAGATCTTACCTCCCTAGTCCACCATTACAGTCCTGCGGCCAGTGTGGGAGTGGGTGACTTCGCGTCCATCGCATCATCGTCTTCATTGCTGGACAACTCCATTATTTCCCGGTAAATGGAAATTGTTTGGGTTTCTGGCTTGCAGTCGACACCAGATTCGTCATACGGCACGTAGTGGCCAGCTATGTCGACGGTGAAGACCAGCTTCACCTCCTGACATCTGGCGGAGACCACCATCAGCACAAGTGTTGCCAGCCACCGCGTTGTCGCCATCGGACCTGCAAATGGGCAGAAGGGAGCTTTACGAGCCTGTACTTTCTATTGACGGGACGATCAAGAGGAGCTTTGCTTGCCTCTGAAGTTTTCATTTAAGACTTTCCATGCACCAACCGCCGGCCCTCTCCGTCGTCATACCCTACATTACGACAGCAGGTCGTGCACGCTCACCAACAACTCCACCCGTTCACAAGCTTACGAGTATCAATACACCGCCATTGTCTGAGAGAGGGGCTTGTTTTAAACACTTCCACCAGTGCTGCGGGGAATTCGAAATCTGAAAAGTCGAGTCCTAGCCCACGAGGGCTCATTTGAGAATGTCCTGTTTCAAAGAGCGTCGCCTCATTCATTGCGTGATGTCAACAGACATGAGAAGACGGCTTGCTTTGGCTGTCGATGTCAGTGTTACACGAAACTCGAATTTGCGTTAGAAATATATGCGCCTGCGTGCTTCCTCTCTGTGTTCATCTGTGCATGCATCACGCCCAACCTATTGAGAGATTCTTGGTATTCTTAGCGTTCCGAAATTAGAGACAAGCATCAGGAGAGCATTGTTTTTCGTCAATTTCACCCGCGTTACCGGCCTGGCAGTTTGGTATTATCTGATCACCAGACGAACTTTGATAAGATCGGGTTGGAAGTTAAGTAAAAAGGGCAGCAACCAGTTGCAGGCTACGCCTTCATTTGCCACGAACCCACCGCGC